GCGGTGAGCTGGACGGGGCTGCGGCCCCCACCGCCCTCAGCCAGCGAGCTCAGCCAGTGCGCCCAGGAGGAGGAGGAGGAGGAGGATGAAGAGGAAGAAGCAGCTGGCGGGTGAGTGTGGGTGGCTGGGGGGGCCGAGCTGTGCCGACCCCAGCACCCACCCCATGGCCCCCATCCCTCAGGTTGGGGACGGAGGAGTGGTACCCCGGCGAGGACGTCCCCTGTGCCACCGCCGCATCCTCGCCCGCTGCCTCCTCTGGCTGCCGGTCCACCGCCACGCTGACGCCATCGCCCCGTGCCACCGAGGACATCCCTCGCCTCCGTGACTTCGATAGTCCCCGCCTGCCCCGGTAGGAGATGGGCCTTGCTTTGTCTGGCTGCGCCAGTGGGGTCCAGATGTCCCATTGGGGTCTGGATGTCCCATTGGGGTTCAGATGTCCCACTGTCCCCCATCGCAATCCAGCCATGTTGTCATGATCTGACCTTGCCATGCCATCATGGTCCAACTGTCATTGGGGTCCAGATGTCTCACAGGGGTCTGGATGTCCTGTTGGGCTTCAGATGTCCCACCATGGTCCAGATGTCCCATCACAACCAAGCCATGTTGTCATGATCCAGCCCTGCTGTGCCATTGTGGTCTGGCCATGCCATTGGGGTCTGGATGTCCCATTGGAGTCTGGATGTCCCGTTGGGGACTGGATGTCCCATCAGGGTCTGGATGTCCCACAATGGTCCAGGTGTCACATCACAATCTGGACATTGTCACCATCCGGCCCTGCCAAGCCATCGTGGTCCGGCCATGCCATTGGGGTCCAGGTGTCCCACTGGGGTCTGGATGTCCCACCATGGTCCAGATGTCCCTTCGTGATCCACCCATGTTGTCACCATCCATCCCTGCTGTCAGGACATGCTCTGGCCATGCTGTCGTGATCCACCAGTGACCGTGCGGGCTGGCCATGGCGTGACAACCCAGCTGTGCCATCCCGATGCAGCTGCGCCGTCACAAGCTGGCTGGGACATTCCCACCCAGCTGTGCTGGATGTCATGGCCCAGCTGTGCCACCATCCAGTGGTGCCATTGCCATCCAGCTGTGCCATCGCAGTCCTGGCATGCCACTGCCATGCAGCTGTGGCATCAGGGGCCAGCTATGCAGTTGCAATCCAGATGTGCAGCTGAGATCGAGCTGTGTGGTTGCAATCCAGATGTGCTGCAATACAGCTGTGTGGTTGCAGTCATGATCCAGATGTTCTACAATCCAGCTGTGTGGTTGCAATCCAGCTGTGCTGTGATCCAGCTGTGGAGTCATGATCCAGATGTTCTGCAATCCAGCTGTGCGGTTGCAATCCAGATGTGCTGTGATTCAGCTGTGCGGTTGCAATCCAGATGTGCTGCAATGCAGCTGTGTGGTTGTGATCCAGATGTCCTGTGATCCAGCTGTGTGGTTGCAGTCATGATCCAGATGTTCTACAAGCCAGCTGTGTGGTTGCAATCCAGCTGTGTTGCAATGTTCCAGATGTTCTGCAATCCAGCTGTGCGGTTGCAATCCAGATGTGCTGTGATTCAGCTGTGCGGTTGCAATCCAGATGTGCTGCAATGCAGCTGTGTGGTTGTGATCCAGATGTCCTGTGATCCAGCTGTGTGGTTGCAGTCATGATCCAGATGTTCTACAAGCCAGCTGTGTGGTTGTAATCCAGCTGTGTTGCAATGCAGCTGTGTGGTTGCAATCCAGCTGTGCTGTGATCCAGCTGTGTGGTTGCAATCCAGATGTGCTGTGATCCAACTGTGAAGTTGCAATCCAGCTGTGTGGTTGCAATCCAGATGTGCTGCAATACAGCTGTGCCATTGCGATCCAGCTGTGCGGTTGCGATCCGGCCAAGTGGCGGTGACCCAGCTGTGGCCCTGCCATCCAGCTGTGCTGCTTCAGCCCACCCCTGCCATTGCCACCCAGCTGTGCCACCACCACCTGGGCACAGTGCGGCACTGGGAGCACCCCCGCTGGCACCGCAGTGACCCCCCAGCCCCCCCCCCCCCAGCTTCACCCCCCCACTC